CCTCACATGCTGGGGGAAAAGGCAGCTCAGATAGAGAAGGGAACACCAAGTAAATGATGTTTGGAGGACTCACTCGGGATGCGAGATGCATGCTGAATGTAGACTATAGACCGAACACGATAGCCACTCAATACCTCTATTGCAAACTACAACACCCTAAAGGAAAGAGTGAGCAAAAGGGAATGCCCTGCCACAGAGGCGGGGTGGGGTGGGGGAATGAGGTGTGCAGGTGGGAGGGCTACTAGGATCATTGGTGGTGGAGAATGGGCACTGGTGGAGGAATGAGTACTCGATCATTGTATAACTGAAACCCAAGCATGAAAGTTTGTAAGTCTACAACTGTACCTCATGGTGTTTTGCTAATAAAAAAAATTTTAAATAAGTACAAAATAATAAAGTTTTTAAAAAAAAGCTGTTGCCACTTTTCAAGAGAAAAATTGGCATTAAATGGGATCATGACAACCAAACAAGGATGTTATTACAAAGGGAAATAACATTGTACCTAAGACCTATTATCAACCTATTACTGAGAAAAACGGTCAATGTACTATATCATGACATATATGAAATCCAAACTGTTACAAAGAAAGTAGAATATCTTATCTAGTAACAGTGACCCCAAGGTTCTCGCAATACAAAAATACTATAACTTCACGCTAATTTCATAAGCATGCTTTTGTAAAGATTTTTAAATGGATTCTTTAAAAATGTCTGTTACAGCATTTCCACATAAGGTTGTTTTGTATCACATAAGGAAGAACTGAGAAAGCTGCATGTGGCCACTTTTTGCAAAAAGAAAAACTGAAGAGAAACTGGCATCAAATTTTTCACATTATTCAAACACTAAATATTATTCATAAAAAAGAATCTTACTCATAGTGAAATTAGATCATTATTTTTAAAAGTTCTCCATTAAATCGCCAAGTTCCCACCTTTAGTAGACTTTAATGAAACAGAAAATTAAATACAACTTGGTCTCCCTCTCACATCAATCACAAACAAATTAACTATGGGCTAAAGTTTTGAGTCATTGAGTACTACTCACTGGCAAAATGAGGATATCTATATAATCCATCAAATTGCCTGATCAACACTGTCTTGCAAAAGTTTCTATGCTAAAGAAAATGGAGGGCTCACTCAGGACAGTAGATGCGTGCTGAAAGTAGACTATGGACCAAACATAATGGCCACTTAGTACCTGTATTGCAAACTATAACACCCAAAAGGAGAGAGAAGAAGAGGGAATGTGCCTGCCACAGAGGCAGGGGTTGGGAAAGGGTGGGGGTGGCGGGAGGGATACTGGAAATATTGGTAGTGGAGAGATGGGTACTTGAACATTGTATGACTGGAACGTAATCACAAAAATTTGTAAGTAACTGTCTCTCAAGATGATTCATTAACATTAAAAAAAAGAAAATGAAGGCAGATTAAAATAAATGTTCCACATCGTGTGGTCTTCAATGTAGATGCTACTCATGATATGTGGTTAGTTACTGAGTATGTCAAATGTTGCTAATGAGTCAAGGGACTAAATTTTATTTAACTTTAACTCATTTAAATAGCCCATAATAACCATTAGGTACAACAATGAGCAGCAAAGAAAAACACACACATTTTACTTCATATCTAACATTTATTACAAATAGATTACATAAAACCATAAACAAGCTAGACTTGTTTACCAAACAAGTCTAATTAAATTATCTTAGACTAGCAAATGACAGCACTTAATATCACAAAAGGCATTTTGAGAATGAGGTTGATTCCAACTTTGGAAATTAAAAACAAAAGCAGCTGACATTTCCCAAAGGAGAGAGAGCAACCACAGACCTCCCTCTAGTGGCAAGAGAGAGAATTGCTGCTGTAAAGCTTAATTGCTTCTCTCTAAAACTGTTCACAAGACCAGACATTTCTTTTACATAATTATCACTTTAAGATTTTTGATAATATATAAGGAAAATAAAATTGATTTTTGTAAACAAAAGCAGAACTTATTTTCACATATATGACTGCTAATACTTCTAGAAATATCACACAAGAAAAGAAACAATTTGTTAATGACATTTGGGAAATTGGGGTTTTCATTAAACAAACATTTATGGAGGCCTAACCAAACTGTGAGCAAAGGAGAGGAACTTTTCTCTCTTTACAAATGTTCCTAGGTATATGTATGTTCCTTAAAAGATAGATTCAGAAGTATACAGTAGTAATAATAAGCAGCAGTGGGGTTTGTAAAAAATCAAGATACATCAAAAGAATCAATGCAAATTAGCGGTCTCATAACCAAAACAATACTTTCATTCAGATAGTCAGTTTCATAAGACAGCTCTGCCACATCGCCAGTTTTAATTACAACCATTTCGTTTAGATGCAAGTACTGAACTACTAGTTTCTAGTACAAGAAGAAACTCAAAGTAGAAACATGTCATAGCTTTTGTTTTTCTCTCACAGATTCAAGAAAAGCAGCTTGTATAAACACTAGTAAGTGCAGAATATACAGAAGTTATCTTTACAAAAGTGCATTAATGTAGTAATACATTTAGCAGAAATACAGGAAAAATTCCTTGTTAACAATCTAATACATTACAGTGTTGAAGACTACTTGAAGATTCTCCAAACTAGTCAACTTCCTACTTGCTTTGGTTATGATACTGATGCCATATAATTACATTCTGAAACTAAAAAAATAATTAAAATTTTAACCACCTATGAAATCTCTTACATATAGTTTAGTTTATGTTTAGTAGCTTTTGACAAGTCCATTAAACTTCCAACACAAAGAAGTAGAATGGATAATACCTACAATCTAAATTACTCAAAGAGGAAATTAAATTGATCCAGTATAGTAACAAACATGGTCTGCTCCATTCCTAAAAACCTCATAGAGACACCCTAATGCCAAAGTCTCAACTTAAATTCAATCAGTTACAATTAAAGAACAAGCAGCTCCACAAATCAGCATAGTTTCAGGCCACTGTCCCTTAGAACAATTCAAACAGTGTCAACTTTCATTTATACATATTTATTCTATATCTACCTTTACTTAGTCAAAATGCATTATGTATAATTAGAGCAATTTTCCCCTTTTCTACCCCCATCCCTCACCACACATACACACACAAAAAGATCAAAGATTTCCACAGGTTCCATTGACAACAAAGATTAAGAAATTTTGACAAGAAAAAGTACTATATATTGAAATTAGAGAAAACCAATTGGTTCTGAGTTCAGCAGCCAAAATTTTAAATTAAAAATTAATTCTTGGGCTAGAGAGATAATACAACAGGGAAGGTGCTCATGCTGCACACGGCTGACTGGGTTTGATCCCCAGCATCCCATATGGTTCTTACTAGCACTGTCAGGAGTGATTCCTGAGTTGCAGAGCCAGGAGTAACCCCTGAGCATCACTGGGTGTTCCCCCCCCCCCGAAAATAATTACTACCATGTGATTTAGGTAATTAAAAATCATCGTTATGTTTTATGTTATCTACTTAACTTAAAAGCAGTTACCATCATGTCACCTATGTTAGCCTTAACTTAAAATACGAGGGGACTCAAGAACAAATATTAGAAAAAAAATTTAAAAGTTTTAGTAAACTCTTAATAGCCAGTTGATCAGAAGAAATTTCTGAGTTCCTCTTAAGCCTTTCAAGTAAGTAAATTATCATACAAAGAAATTAAAAATGAGCATTTTAATAAGCGATGTTCCAGACACTATATTGACAGAGATGCCTAGGCCTAAATCTCCAGTGGTTATCACCCACTTAGCATAATCTGATTATTAAGATAAATTTTATCTTACTCTGTCAGACTTAAAATGAATCCAAAGTTACCATGGTAATATATATGTGTGTGTGTGTATATATATACATATATATATACACAAATACTTATTTTCTAACTCAAGTCCATTTAAGGATTAAATAAACCTCCAAGTTTAGACATACTGAATGTCAGTGTACTCTACATCAATACTATTGTCTGAATGAAACCGGGAATTTTCCTATCAACCCTTTCAAACTATAAACTAACTTTAGGTATCCTCCTATTCCAAGCAAATATTTTTCTTGTAGCTACAAGTGCTAGAAGGTAATTTGTTAAAGGAGAGTGTTCCAGCTATTACTAAAAATGAATTTGAATAATCCCTAAAGTTAACAAGAGAATTAACTTGTTATATATCTCTGTTCTTGAAGTCTTTTTGCCTTGAAACTTATCCTTCAAGTTCTTCATGGTTACCTGGTTTTCACAATCCTTCTGATTTATAACATTTTCTGGGGCAGGGGGTGGTGGAAAGAGGAATAATACATTAAGCTATATTTTAGAAATGTTTCATTGTTATTCAATGACCTTTCATGCTAAAAATAAAGTTATGTAAATTAAATTTAAGATCTGAAGATTTCTGCTTTGTTATATACTCTACTAATATTAATTGGCTCAACCTTGATGGCCTTATTTACTGATATCCAATATCCAGGGCATTTCATAAAATGAATGATAACATCTAAATTATCTGTTTTGGAAAAGTCTAAAATTGACAAAAACTACGGCATTTATCTTTAAGGCACATGAGGCTATATAGAGTTAAGTGACAAACAAATAGTTTCTGCTAGAGAATCCAGAAACAAGATAAAACTTCTATATTTGTCATATACTAACATTTTTCGCTTAAATATAAAGATGTTTTGATAAATTTCACAATTTTTAAAGCTCACTATATTTCTTGAAAGGTTTCTTCTTTGAGGTGGTTTAACACTTTGAAGAGCTAAATGAGATGTACACCTACTCCATACAGTCATTAAATTACGAGTCAGTTTCCTGGATTAATTTGTAATACCTAGTTAACCCAAAGAACTAAGAAAATGACAAAACTGCCACCACCTAACAAAAATAAGACAAATATCATTTTTACAAAAACATTTTATTCAAAGCTGTCTTTGTCTTGTTAGGACAGTCTAAATTCATTATACTCACTGAATACAATACTGCATTCATTCAGTTGTGAAACTGTAGATGTACCTTTTTAATTATAGGTTCATACTTTAAGAATTGTGGTGGTGACTGACAGGTTCCAAAAAATGTAATTTTTCTACTTTTGAGATATAAAATGACCTACACATAAAACTCTAATAATGTGTGTATGGATAAACCTGAGTGCACTTTATTATGCCCTCAGTTAACAACGTTATTTCTGGGACCAGAGATATAGTTCAGAGGGTAAAATATTTGCCCTGCATGCCAACAAACAGGGTTTGATCCTCAGCACTGCATATGGTCCCCCAACACTGCTAGGAATGATCCCTGAGCACAGATGCGTGCTGCCCAAAAACAAAATTAAAAAAACAAACCAAAAAAGAAGCGAGACAAAACCAAAGATAGTTCTGAAGGGAAGATTTATCTGCTCCAATGTCAATTCAATGTATATTAAAACACTGAAAAAAATTTCACATTTTAACTTGCTTATATTTAAAATGAGGCCTAGTTGGGGAGGGGTCGGCCACTCCAGAAAAGGCTGGAGTGATAGCACAGCGATAGGGTGTTTGCCTTGCACACAGCTGGCCGGCCGACCTGGGTTCGATTCCTCCATCCCTCTCGAAGAGACCCGCAAGCTACTGAGAGTATCTCGCCTGCATGGCAAAGCCTGGCAAGCTACCCATGATGTATTCGGTATGCCAAACACAGTAACAACAAGTCTCATGATGGAGACGATACTGGGCCTGCTCGAGCAAATCAATGAACAACGGGAAGACAGTGCTACGGACGGTGCTATATTTAAAAAGAAAAAATTAAGCTGGATTGCTTTAAAATTAACTGAGGGGTGGTAGAAACAGTATAGCGGGTAGAGTGCTCACCTTAAATGAAGCGGACCCAAGTTCAATCCCTGGCATCCCATATGATCCTGAAGCACTGCCAGGAGTAATTCCTCAGTGTAGCCAGGAGTAGCCCCTGAGCATTGCCGGGTTGGCAAAAAAAATGTACTCAGATATACAACAAATTACTTATTTTAAGAAGTCACAAAAAACTTGATCTGCATGAGGCATTGAGACAGAAAAAAAGTATACAATACATTAAGGGCAAGAGCTTTATCTCTTTTGTGCTATTTGAGGGGTTTTAAACTCTGTCTTTGATCATTAGCAAATGAAAATTAATGTTTTTCTTTCAGAGGAATAATTTTCAATCTCCAAAACAATTTTATGTACTATCTCTAATATATAATACTGTAAAAATATTTCATTCAGACTTACACAATTTTTTATGGAACACTTTCTTATAACCATTCAAATCTTTATAATCCTTAAAAACTGGCTTTATGGTACTTTGGTAAGCTCATTTATTGATGAATAAGGTCAAATCTAAGGTTTGGGTGTGGCGTTGGAATGATGCATCTATGAAAAGGATAATTAACAGTACATAAACCTGGTACCAAAATAAATCGTTTTTTAAAAAGTTAAATCTAAAGTAATAAGACTGTGTAACTTTTAGGAGGAATTGGCTTTATTATATCATGTCCATATTTAAGATTTTATTTTACTGGTTCCATGTATGTAACAGTTAACTTGCTTTAAGTATCCAAAGGTTGCCTAATTTCACTTAAGAGTGGATCAAGAAGAATCAATCTTTGAGAGTTTATTTTTGCTAAGAACAAGCAGAGAAGTCAGCTGTCTTTGCTCTTCTCTGCATTTATTCTTTTGCAAATTTACTCTTCTTATATGTAGAAGGAAAATACAAAGATGACCATTTCCCCATGCTTAAAGGATTCTGAGAACTACCAATGAATGTAGCAGTCTTAAAAATGTTACAACCCCATGGTGGTGGAAAATGGGCACTGGTGGAGGGATGGGTATCTGATCATTGTATAATTGAAACCAAAGCACAAAAAATTGTAAATCTACAACTGTAAAAAAAAATAAAATAAAATAAAGGGGAAAAAAAATGTTACAACCGTACCACAGAAATCAACTAATTGATCTATAGATCACTCTTCAATGGATCTATTTTTATTGGTTTCAATTCTTTAACATTCAGGATCTAAAATTAAATTTAAAAATTTTAAGTATGCAATGGTTAATATTAAGACTTGTGTCAACTGAGAATTAAGAATTTAATTGCTAATCTTTTCTCTAATGATAAAAGTATATAAAAATGAAATGAAATCCTATTATTCTCTAATTCTAGTTTAACTAATACTATAACTTCTACAGAACCATTCCAAAGGTTGTCCACAATATAAAAACTGTGAAACTCAGAAAGCAGCTTGATTGTCAGTAGTATCAGCTCCCATATTCTTTAACCCATGTGAATCTTTAAACACATAATAAAAGGAATCATCCTACTTCTTATGTTGGTAACAAATTCTACATTAAAACATTTAAACTCTATGATTTCAAAACTTGAAATCAGAATTCTATTAATAGTCAAAAAATTAAGATGTCTTCTATCTTTCTGCTCCATGTATTTCTAGCAGTTTAGAGAAATTTAGAAGAACTGTAAGGTTTTCTTTTAGTTATTTTTGAGCATAAGCTGTTCATATGTCAGAAATTTTTATTCCAAATCATTTAAAAATTTAGATCAGTACTGGGAAAAAAACATACCAGAAAGTAAGAGACTTTCTGCTTTTGAGATAGCCTAAAATTTTAGAGAACACTGCAAAAGCTGATTTGGTTGTTTTTCTTAATTGCTTCCTGTTAATACAGCATCAAGTCTAATAGTTCACCTACAAGTAACTATTTCCTCAGTAGTTATCACTTACGTAAAGGATTCTGAATTTACATAAAGTGAAAAATTAAAGTCAAACAGTAAAGACATTAGGGCCTGTTTTTATACCTGTTAATAATGAAGGGAAACAGGTAGAAATAAACCCAATGAAGGCACTACTGTAAACAGCAAACCACATCCCACTTCCACCACCTGAAAAACATTTCCACTAAGAATTTTTAATGATCCTAAGGCCCTCTAGAAAATGTAAACCAAGAAACTGCAACATAAAAAAGAACTGAACTATAATCTCTACACAAATTGTCAGCAGTACTTACACACCTTCTAAACTGTCAGAATATACTACTAGTCTTTGAAAAAAGTCCATTCAACCATGCTGAAATTTAAATAGTCAAAACATTTACCTAAATCAGTGGTTCTTAAAACAAGTGTGCCATAGAATAACCTCGTGCTCATTAAAAGACAATGGGGGTATCTGGTTACCCTGGGGTATCTGATTCACTAGAACTAGGATGGGACCCAATTCTAACTATTTCTCATAATGGTGTAGCTGTTGGCCCAGGGACCACCCATTGAGAATCACTGGCCTAAATTATTAATGGCACATTAGCAGATCCCTAACCAAAAAGTTTGGTCAAGATGCATGTAAACAAATCAAAACAGAATACATAAAAGCTTAGAAAGAACACAGATAAAGCCACCCTGATTACATCAAAACATCTACATCTGCATCATGGTCTTCCTCAGTCACTTTCAAGGACAACACTTCTTCATTCAGGAAGAGGCCACTGAGCCTCTCTTTCCGAGCCTGCCTTTGCTCTTTCAGCTGTCTTTTGCGTAAGGCCTTCTGCTGTAACTTCCGCTGTTTGGATCGCTTCTGTCAAAATGAAAAAAATCTAAATCAGTAAGGGTCAGTTATGTTCTATTCACTGAAAAACCTGAATCAAATTCAGTAATTTTTACAAATGAAACTCCATTTTCCCAATTTTAAAGAGTATGTTCAAACTCCTCTTCAGTATGATCTCAGTTGCAGTGAGTTGCACTTGAAAATGATTCTTTAAGATTTTATATTAATGGTATCTCATTGGTAAATATTCTGATAAGGAATGGTACAGATTACCAATCATTTTAGACTTTTTTTAAAAAATCAGTGTCGGTGCAGAAATCAAACTGTGTCAGTGCAGAATGAACATGTACTAAGGAACTCTGAACACAATATAGACAATACTGTCAAAATTTCTAATACTTATTATTTTAAGGTGACTTTTATCCAAATGCACTAGAAATTTTACAACAGAAGGGAATCACATTTTTATTACTCATTTTAGACAAATACCATCTTTATAGCCCATTAGATACTCTCTACCCCTTGTCACTAGTGAACTGATGCCACATAGGAACCGCCACACATCTAGAGGAATCTCTTGCAATCTACAAGACTGATTATGTTTCTGCTACTTTGGTAAGAGCTAGAAAACAGTGTATATCCTAGTCAGCACTGAGTTGCAGAGAAACCCTTACCATCCTTAAGTGAGCTCCAGACTGTTCCACTCCAAGGATCTGAACTACCCTGAGGTGGCAGAACCCATTTTATATATACTTACACCTCCTATTCTTTATGCAACCAATAGCATTATACAAAATATTTTCAAGTGTGAAGGCTAAACAGAAATTAGAGAAGACATTATTACATTTAAAAAGAGCTCAAAAAAACAGACAAGATGAAAACATTTACGAAAATACTAAACACACACAAAAGACATATACAACATTCCTGGGAGCTCATAGACAGCAACATTAGCAACATTATGCTATGTTTTCAGTAGTGAGTTGCAGTCAACATTGCAATCTTGAGACTCACTCATTATTTTCATCAATTCAATTTACTTAAAACAGAAATAAAAATCATATAAGATTTCATATAACTGTAGGCACAATAGTCCTACAAAGCACTTAGCCCACAGGGGTTTTGTTCAATAGCAGGAATCCTGCTTGTTCAATTAAAACCAAAACCCACGGCATAAATTTATGGCAAAACTTATCCATGGGAATAGGATAAGTTTAACTCTTCAAGAAAAATCTAGGATGGAGTATTAATGTTAATATTGAAAGGTAAAGTTTTGTATCGATTAGTCATTTTACTTTTGAATCCCGAATCCGTTCTGCTGCACTTGCAGACAAGTTGCTGTCACTGTGTGCTCGACTCATGTTGGCACTGGAGTTTGAAGCAGAGTTTCCAACACTGGACCCACTGCTGCTTGCAGAACTGACCATGCTGGCGCTGCTGCTGCTGACACTGGCACTGGCACCGCTCACTCCACTGATGCTGGCACAACTAAAGTTGCTTCTCTTCCAGGCCTCTCGTGTGGGCCGCTGGCGAGGGCTATGCTCCTTTATATAGTTTCTAACCTTGGAATCCACAAACACACACTATTTAGTTTTGTACCCTGAATACCTATCCTCAAAATACTGGATGAAAGAAGAAACGACATGGATTACCCCAAAATGTTAAAGAAAAAGAGGAGGGAAATTGACACTGATGGTAGGATTGGTGCTAGATGGATGATGAAAATTCAACTACAAATTTTATTGTGTTTGCATAAAATTAAAAAATAGAGTCACTGAAGAGGAAAAAAGGTGAAGAAAGATTAAATCATTATGTGTAGAAACAAGTACCAAAAATGACAATGTTATACAATTTAGTATGTATATTATGGAGATAGACTTTAAAAGCATATTATGTTAATAAGAGTCATTTACTAGTCTCCAGAATTTAGAGTTATAAGAAACTTACACTAAAAAAAAAAACAGAAAAAAGAATATAGATAAAATTCGGCCTTTTTAGAACTCTACTTGAGATGCTTCAAGTGAGTTGCTGATTATACCTAAAATTCAGGTGTCTACCAAGATAAATAAAACACAGACAGAACTCTACAAGAAAAAAATAATCCAACACTATCAAAAAATAGGGAGAAGAAATGAACAGGAACTTCTTCAAAGAAGAAATACAAATGGCCAAAATGCATATGAAAAAAATGTGTTATGTCACTAATAATCAGGGAAATGTAAATCAAAACAACAACAAGATATCACCTCACATCACAAAGACTGGCACTCATCAAAAAGAACAACCACCAGTGTTAGTGAGAATGTGTTGAAAAGGGGACCCTCATTCACTACTGGTGGGAATGTTTGCTGGTCCAGTTTTTTTTGAAGACAATATGGACATCCTTCAAAAAACTAGGAATTGAACTTCCATAAGACCCAGCAATTCCATTCCAGGGAATATATCCCAGTGCGCAAATGCACAAATCAGGAAACACATCTGTTCTCCTATGTTCATTGCAGCACTATAAACAACAGCCAAAATATGGAAACAACCCAAATGCCCAAGAACAGAAGAGTAGATTTGATCATTGTATGACCGAAACTCAAGCACAAAGATTTGTAAATCTATAACTGTACCTCATGGTGCTTCACTAATAAAAAAAAAAAGAAGCTATGGTACATATACACGATGTAATACTACGCGGCCTTAAGAAAAGATAAAGTCATGCGATTTGCTACTACATGGATGGATCTGGAGAGTATTATGTTGACTGAAATTAGCAAGAGGGAGACTAACAGACTCAGAATGATCTCTCTCTTATGTGGGATATAAAGAAACCTCACAGGAGCCACTCAATACCTCTATTGCAAACCACAACACCCAAAGGGAGAGAGAGAACAAAAGGGAATGCCCTGCCGCACAGTCAGGGTGGATGAGGGGGGAAGGGGGGGAGGGTGGGGGCAATGCTGGAATTGTCGGTGGTGAAGAGTGGGCACTGGCGGATGGATGGGTACTCGATCATTATATAACTGAAACACAAGCATGAAAATAATGTAAATCTGTAACTGTACCTCACGGTGATTCACTAATAAAAAGAAATTTAAAAAATTAAAAACATAAGTATATAAAAAAAGAAACCTCATAGGGGAATATCAAATGCACAATGGCAATAGAAACAAAGAGCAGGAGAACTGATCTTCATTACGAAGCTTAGCTCTGGTGCAAGGGTGAGGGGGATAAGTCAGAGAAGGGAACACTAGGCCAATGGGGGAAGGGAAAAGTGCCTGCCTCAGAAGGAGTAGGAGAGAAACTGAGGAGATTGGTGGAGGGTAGTGGGCACGGGTGAAGGGATTGGTGTTGGAACAATATACACCTGAAACTCAATTATAAATATCTTTTTAATTTTGTAATACATAGTGATTTAATAAAGGCCCTCCCGTTGATCGTCGATTTGCTCGAGCGGGCCCAGTAACGTCTCCATTGGAGACTTTGTTGTTACTGTGTTTGGCATATCGAATACTCTCGGTAGCTTGCCGGGCTCTCCGAGAGGGGCGGAGGAATCGAACTCGGGTCAGCCATGTTGGCTGCTTGTAAGACGAACGCCCTACCCGCTGTGCTATCGCTCCAGCCCAGTGATTTAATAAAAAAGACAAAAGAAAAATAAAATTAGTGTGTCTCTATATACACACAACAAAATACTATGCAGCTCTAAGAAAGAAATAGATCACACAATTTGCAGCAACATGGATGGAGCTAGAGGATATAATGCTGAGGGAAGTCTATCAGAAGAAAATTGATGGACACAGAATGGTCTCTCTCATATGTGGGACTGAAAGATACAAAGCAAGGTAGCAACAATGGTCCAAAGACAACATAACTGAGGACCTGATCCGCACAATTAAACTGGAGGTAGGGAGTTGGGAAAAAGGGGTTTGGAGATGACTGCTTAAAGAAACTTTGGTACATCTACACAATGGAATACTATGCAGCTGTCAGAAAAGATGAAGTCATGAAACTTGCATATAAATGGATCAATATGGAAAGTATCATGTTAAGTGAAATGAGTCAGAAGGAGAGGGAGAGACATAGAAAGATTGCACTCATCTGTGTTATACAAAGTAACAAAATGGGAGACTGACACCCAAGAATAGTAGAGATAAGGACCAGGAGGTTTACTCCATGGCTTGGAAGCCAATCTCAAATGCTGGGGAAAAGGCAGCTCAGAGAGAGAAGGGAACACCAAGTAAAGGGTATTTGGAGGACCAGCCCAGGTCAGATAGGACATGCAAGCTGAATGTAGACTATAAATCGAACACAATGGCCACTCAATGCCTCTACTGCGAACTGTAACACCCAAAGGAAAGAGAGAACAAAAGGGAATGCCCTGTCACAGAGGCGGGGTGGGGTGGGGTGGGGGGATGGGATGGGAGTGGTAGGAGGGATACTGGGATCATTGCTGGTGGTGAATGGGCACTAGTGGAGGGATAGGTACTCAATCATTGCAAGCACAAAAGTTTATAAGTCTGTAACTGTATCCCACGGTGATTCACTAATAAAAAATTGCTGAAAAAAGGAAAAATTCCAGAAAAAAATGTTTAAAAAAAAGAAAAACTCCAATTCCAGAGCTGGAGAGTTAGCACAGTAGGTAGGGCATTTGCCTTGCATGCACGCGGCCAACCCTAGTTCTATTCCCAGCATCCCATATGGTCCCCTGAGCACCGCCAGGAGTAATTCCTGAGTGCAGAGCCAGAAGTAATCCCTGTCTATGGCCAGGTGTGACCCAAAAAGGAAAACAAACAAACAAACAAAAACAAAAAAAACTACTCTAATTCCTCAGTTAAGATGTGCACTCAAGTACAGCAATCAGGGAGAGGGTTCGATTTTCAGCATCCCATATGGTCCCCTGAGCACCACCAGGAGTAATTCCTGAGTGCAGAGTCAGGAATAACCCCTGTGCATCACCAGGTGTCACCCCAAAAGAAAAAAAAACTGTACAGCTACCAATAAAGTACTCTGATTGTCAATAAATCTTTTGTAAGATGATTTAGAATAAATCTTTATCTTAGCTTAACAAATCGATAAGTAATAAAACTGCTTCAGCGCCTACATGGTTAAAAAGCAGGTTCTAAACTCACTTGATCCCATAAAGGATAGCTACATATAAAATCCTCTAAAACCATGTATTATCACATATTAACATCTTTTTTTCAAAAAATACATTCAAAGTAGTTTCTGACCTAAATTATCCATATATTAAAAATTATACAAATCTGTGTTTTATCAACCAATTACATTTTCAATAGCTGTACATTTATTCTTTTCTTTACATACCTGTTTCAGTTTTTCATCTGTGAGACAGTTAAGTTCAATAATAAACTCACTGTCTGTAGGCGAGATTTGAGCAGAAGGATCAATTATTTTAATAATATCCAGTTGCTCCCGAAGACCCATCTCAGTACTGACTTTACGACTTAGATATTCAATATATTCAACCTATGTGATGAAAATAATTACAATAAACAAGATCAGTGTCAAAACCTATAATCTTTTAGTGTTATTTATAATGTGCTTTAAATATCAAAAGCAAGAAAAGGACAGGGAGGTAGCTCAGTGATACCTGAGGTATTGCATATGTGAGGCCCTGGGTTTGATTCCCAGCACCACTCCAAAAAAGAACTTAATATATTTGTTCCCTACAAAATTTTTAATATTCAAACTCAGATTCACTAAGAAATTCATATTTACCTAGCAGTTTTATACAGGCAACAAACTGGGTATCACATATTCTCCACACATACGAATGAAAAAAAAACAGTCAAGATCTCTACCTGCTCATCATTTGTCATAGCACTCCAAGGAAGTTCATCTAAATTCTGGTGCTTGTTTTTCTTTTTAGGAAGCAGGCAAGGTGAACTTGGAATACTGGGTATGACATCAGAAAACACATCACTCCCACTGGCAATGTCACTGCCTGGTAACTTCATTAAAATAAGAAGAGTTAGTGAAAGCAAAATTTCTTAAATATATTTAACATTGTATAAAGTCAAAGTGATTAACATTTTATTTAATAAGACAAAGAGAGCATAAAAATATTCTGACTGACTCATGTTTAGACAAAGCAGCAACACTTCTTTTAAACAGCAATGTTCATATAGTCACTTGTCCAATGAAGAAACAGTTTCCAAAAACTTAAAAATGTAACAAAGACTTGATAAAATGCTAAGAGCCAGTCATCAATAAGATTTTAAATTCATAACACAAATAGAGGCTAGGTTCCATACAGTTATATGGCCAATATCAACACAAATCATGACCTTTGACTTCATGTCTATACTAACAAACTAGAAAATTAAAATAATTTAAAATATGTTGATAATATAAAACAAATCACTTTCAAACCCTGAAGCACTGTTTGTGTTTTGGTTTTCACGCCACACACAGTGATGCTCAAGGCTTTCTTCTGGCTCTGCAGTCAGAATTACTCCTGGTGGCGCTGGGGACACCATTTGGGATGCCAAGGATCAAAATAGGGTTGCCACATGCAAGGCAAATGCCTACCCACTGACTATCTCTCTGGCCCCAAGACTAGAAGCATTATTTTTTTTAAAAAGAAACAAGAAACATGCTAGGGTATTATGTATAAAAAGAAAAAAATGCAAAGTCTCAAGTAATTTAGAACGAGATGAATAGGGGTTGAAGACACAGCTCAAGTGAGAGAACGTCAGATAGCTGTTACCATATGTCCCATTCCCACGATCAAGTGCGTCCTGGTGGCCCCCAGACACCACTGCGTGTGGCCCATATGGCCACCCAATCCAACCACCCTAACTCCAACACGACTTGGTAGCCCAGGCAGAGCTCTGCTAGGCATAATACCTGGAAAAAATGTTAATAAGGTGAGATGAACAGCGAACTAAAAAGTGCCCTAATTTTAATTGCCTATTAAATGCCAGTTGGATGTATTTTATTTTTTTAGCAACTTTGTTGAGATATAAGTCACAAACTACATTTACAATTTGATAAGTACACAATTTGATGAGTCTGGACATATCCCAGAGAAAAATAGCACAATCAAGGTTATTAACATATCCATCACCTCCAAAAATCCCAAATATTATATTTCTATGACTTAATTTTCCCCTTTCCTTTCCCTCATTGATGATGTCTCAATGACTGGGAGTGGCACTGTAGTACTGTCCTCCCATTGTTCATCGATTTGCTCGAGCGGGCCCAGTAACATCTCCATTGTGAGACTTCCTGTTACTGTGTTTGGCATATTGAATACATCACTGGTAGCTTGCCAGGCTTTACCGTGCGGGCAAGATACTCTCGGTAGCTTGCTGGGCTCTCCAAGAGGGGCAGAGGAATCGAACCTGGCTCAGCCAGACCAGCCGCACACAAGGCAAAATCCCTACCGCTGTGCTATGGCTCTGTCAGGAGTGGAACATGTTATTGTTTACTTTTTGCGCACACACGCTTATCAGATTTGTGGTGCCACTAGGGGTCACTGTCCTTTAGTTGTGATGCTCACATACATTCTGGTTGTAGTGATCAAGGAGTCACTGTAGGGCTCATGCCTGTACTTGCTGAGGGTCGCACTCCTGGCAACAGATCTCGCATATTATTTATCTCGCATATTGTTTTTAACTGCAGTAATCACTGGGAGTTGCACCCTTTAGCTGAAGTACTCCCACACTCTTGGCTTCAGTATGGTCAGAAATTGCCCATGGCACCAAGAATCTCAGACAGCAGGACTGTCAGGCACAAACTGTAAAGGATCACGTGTGGTACATACTGTGGATCAAACTGTAGATCAATCAGTAACGGCACACGTGATTGCACTCTGGATCAAATTCAAAGCCTCACACTTGAAAGCAAGCACTTCAACACTAAATCAACTACTGAACCCCCAAAACAGATTTGAAATAAATGTGTTAATTAAGTCACTGTTCAAAAAGATAAAATACTTTATTCTATGAATTCATGATATAATGCTTTCATTTTTACAAAGTACAAAATAGTACCCTGTGGGGAGGTAGTGTTCTATAAAGACAGTAGTGTATTAAGTATAGACTTTGTAATTAAGCAATTATATCTGATTTTAGATTATTTCTAGGCTTCTAAAGTTATCACCAGAAATACTATTTTAGGCACAAAGATTACTACAATCACAAGTATATTTGGTTTCCTGTCATACCGACAGTATAGAGGATTCAAAAGAGTGTAAGTCATGATCCTTACACAAGAATCTTGTACATGGGAATAATAGCACTGTAGCATTGTCCTCCAGTTGTTCATCGATTTGCTCAAGTGGGCACCAGTAACATCTCCATTGTGAGACTTGTTACTTTTTTTGGCATATCGAGTATGTCATGGGTAGCTTGGCAGGCTCTGCCGTGTAGGTGGAATACTCTCAGTAGCTTGTCAGGCTCTCTGAGAGGGGTGGAGGAATCGAACCCGAGTCAGCCGCTTCCAAGGCAAACGTCCTACCCGCTATGCTATCGCTCCAGCCCATGGGAATAAATACCACATAGTACATGACAGATGCTAAGTTTGGTATGACAGGTCACAAATGAGATGACAGGTCATAAATGGAAATATCTATCAATGAACTGAAACTGCAGGGTTACTGCTTAGAAAACAAAGAGGCACAGGCATTAGGGAGTCAACTGAGTCATAAAACAGAGGTGATCACTATGTAAAGTAACAGCACATTTTCACTTTAATGAATGACACTGGTCAATCCAGCACATAAATTATTTCTAACAATTTGCATGACTGTCTTTAAAATCTCAGTTGCTAACACCAAACTCTTCATCCTTGGCTCTAATGTTATCTTTGGTATAATTAGAGAATTACTGCTGAATATACAAAGGCCATCTCTTTTTCAGCTTTATATAAAAGAGAATGCTTTTGTATTTTTTTTTTTTTTTGCTTTTTTGGATCACACCCGGCGATGCACAGGAGTTACTCCTGGTTCATGCACTCAGGAATCGCTCCTGGCAGTACTTGGGGGACCATATGGGATGCTGGGAATCAAACCTCGGTCAGCCGCATGCAAGGCAAACACCCTACCTGCTATACTATTGCTCCAGCCCCTGTTTTTGTAATTTTTACCTTAAAAACTTCCAACATTACTAAAAATCTTCTGTGAAAATAATAATTTTGTTTAAATAAAAAAATAGATGAAAGGCCTCTCCTACTCCAAATTCCTTTAATAAATTTGTTATTGAAAAGAACTCTAAAAATACGTGTATCCTCAAAAATTTAAGATCAACTGTTATAAAAAAAGTCTCCAGTGAATACTTACTAGGTACCAGATTATCTGTCTTTATCACTGGTTAAATGCTAATAGGAAAATCAGCAACTTTGTGGAAAAAAAGGTTCTTTCACTCAGGGAGAAATGAAACAATCCCCAAATGTACTCAAATCCAAGCTCCAGTGTAACTAGCCCTATAATCTTATAAAGGTCATTGTCACTGTTCTCCCGTTGTTCATCAATTTGCTCAAGCGAGCCCAGTAACATTGTGAGACTTGGTGTTACTATGTTTGACATATCGAATACGTAACAGGTAGCTTACCAGTCTTTGCCGTGTGGGTGAGATACTCTCGGTAGCTTGCCTGGCTCTCCGAGAGGAGTGAAGGAATCAAACTTGGGTCGGCTGGGTCAGCCGCGTGCAAGGCAAATGCCCTACCTGCTGTGCTATCACTCCAACCCCTTTATAAAGGTAAACTTGCTTATTTGCGCCTCAGAGATTTGGGCAGTTAGGACTAATGCCATCGATCTCAAAGTAAAAAGTTTAAATGAGGTAATATGCCTACAAGTAAGGTTACATTTAATAATAAATTAGTGTACTTTTCTTTTCTCATATGTTGTCAGGGTTTTGAACTCTTACAAATGATAGTACAAACTCTCAAAAAGTGTCACATGTTGTTAAAGTGGCTGTGTTCTATTTCACAAGGTAGTCTCTAAAAATGTTGGGAGAAAGGTAAAGGCATTTGGTAGGAAGTATAATTTAATAAAAGCATAAACAAAAAACACAGAGTGGGAATGATATCACTGTCACTGTCCTCCCGTTGTTCATCGATTTGCTCGAGTGGGCCCAGTAACGTCTCCATTGGAGACTTTGTTGTTACTGTGTTTGGCATATCAAATGCATCACAGGTAGCTTGCCAGGCTCTGCCGTGCGGGTGAGATACTCTCGGTAGCTTGCCGGGCTCTCCGAGAGGGACGGAGGAATCGAACTCGGGTCGGCCATGTTGGCTGCGTGCAAGGCAAACGCCCTACTGCTGTGCTATCACTCCAGCCTCGGGAATGATATCAATATAATTAAAATATAAAGGAAAGACTAGGGATTTGAAAGCTCAATGAAAGAACCAGAAAGCTGTTCTAGAAAATGTAGAAGTAGGCCAATTATATTTTCTTACATGTAACTTAATGAAACTGAGGTTGAGGGAAGATGAATAAAAAGCAGCATGTGGACAAAAAAGAAAAAGCAAAGATAGGAATGAAGACAGGAAATTCTTCTGATGTGGGGCTAGATTAAGATTTTTAAAACGGGAAGAAAAAAATAGAAATTTTCCCAGTGAAATAACTGGGAAACAGAGAGACAGTACAGAGGTTAAAGCATAAGACTTGAATTTTATCTAAAGCACCATATGGTCCCTGAAGCATCACAAGGAGTATCTCCAGAGTCTCCTAGACACCACCAGGGGGGTCAGAATAATCCCTGGCACCAAAAGGCCACAGCAACCCTGCATCATTGTTCCTAGAACTGAACCATCAGCCTGGTCGGTAAAATATCACCAGTAGGGGCCCTGGAGCTACCTCAGCACTTTTTGGGTAGCTGGGAAAAAGTCAAATAAACACCAAAGATGACTTACAAGATCAATTTCTAAAAAACAGGATAACTGAAAACTGATGACATTTCACTGTTATATAACCCATCCAACATGATGCATGTAAAGACCTCGATTT